TTTACATATTGACAATATATAATGCAGTGCAGTGTTGATTTAAAGAAAATAATCTTGAAATACACCAAGAGAACTAAAATTTTATGGGTAAAATGGTGCCATGGGGTGGCTTCTCTTCCACCCCAATGCCTTCTCTTCTCCCTTCTCCTCCTCCACCTCCCACTTCAAATGCACATCATCATCATCATCCAGGAGCCTTCTACATACACACCTCAAAGTAAGTGAACTTTTCTACCATTTTTGTTGAATTTCGGCAATTTTCGGTGAGCTTGAACCAATTACCCAAAAACCCATTGAAACAATGGTTTCGGTTAACGAACAACCTGCTGGAACGGATTGAGTTCGTTAACCGAGGGACCACTGTACATTAGTGTACAATACTGTAGTACATTTTATAGAAAGTTTTTCAACTGTATTTTTGGGTAGATTTACATAAATTTCTTCATTTATTTTCATTCATTTACATGCACACACCATACTAAAAGAAACGTAAAAGAAATAAATGACCTTAGTGCAAAGCTGGACTGCACATGTACTAAATTGATTACGGTACTAAAATTGTTATGTCTAGTGCTAATTACAACATGTTTATATTCAAATAAATCAGTATCTTACAAGAATCCCAGCTATGTTAATTACATTCTCCTAGGTCATATCACTGGCATTTTAATATGAGAGAAGCTTAGTAGGACTGTTAAATAAACACGCAGAGACCTTCGGCTCAAATTTATCACCTCAAACCCCCCCCCCTCCCCCCAGCCAGGCTTTTAGGCTTACAGATTTTATTTTGTATAATATCTCAGACTAAAGTTAGGAGATTATAATTTGCATTGCTAGAATCTTTGCAAGACAGCCATTAATTTGAATATAAATGTCATATATTTTGCTCAAGAGATAAAAATTGTTGTACATTAGTGTACAGTACTGTAGTACACTTTATAAAAAAGTTTTTCAAATGTATTTTTGGGTAGATTTACATAGATTTCATCATTTATTTTCATCCATTTACATGCACACACCATACTAAAAGAAACGTAATTGAAATAAATGACCTTAGTGCAAAGCTGGAGCGCACATGTACGAATTTGATTACTGTACTAAAATTGTTTTGTCTAGTGCAAATTATAGCATGTTTATATTCAAATTAATCAGTATGTTACAAGAATCCCAGCAATGTTAATTATATTCACCTAGGTCATTTCACTGACTTTTTATAAGAGAGAAGCTTAGTCACTTAAGAACTGATAAATATACACGCGTTAGACCTGGGCCTGTGCCAACTGTCAAACGTACTACCTCCCCTCCCCCCACGCCCCCTCGCTCGCTCCCACCCTCTCTCTCCCTCATCTGCCCGGCGTTGTTGGAATCCTTGTAAAACAGTGAATAATTTTAATATATACGTCATGTATTTTGCACAAGAGATAAAAATTAAGCACCTGTATCTCATTACAGTAGTGATTTAAGAGAAAAAATGTATATGTACATATATAGTATTCCACATACACGTAAGTATAAATACAAAGTTTATGTGATGATCGGACAACGTCCATATCGGTTAACGTCACGTTTCCAAGAACGTATCTAGGACGTTAACCGGCGCATGACTGTATATCTATTATTGACTGGGATAACGTAAGACTAGTTTGATGAGATAATGAAAGGGATATTCTGGAACCATAAAAAGTAATAGGAAAAATAGATCAACTCACACAAGGAAGTTTCACTCTCCATTTCTGGAGCTTCTCTAGCACCTCCTCGCTCTTGTTTTAGCTGGTTTAACTTTACAAGCATTTCCTAGCTGCAGGAATTTTCATTTTTATATTATACCATTGTAAACCAAATATGTAATGCTGTTGTTTTGATTTATTATATCAACCCCTTTAATTAATATATTGTACGTATTGCTATAATATATATTGAAGATAATTAAAGACTAATTATTTTTGAGTGGTTTTCATTAATGTTATTAAGGGGAGTATTTTATGATAAACAAGAATAATTAGAGAGATACTGTACTTAAACTCTTATATAAAGACATCTAATAAACTGAAGTTGGTAGTGTAGCAATATTGTGTTTATTTAATACTAAACTCGAGATGGTAGTGTAACATGTGATATTAATTAATATTTCTTTGATCACATTAAATAAAAAAGAATTAAATTTTTGGCTTATAATGATAGTATTGCTCATATATAGGAGGAAATAATTATTAATTGATTTTTATAATTACTTAGTGAAAAGGAATTTATTAGGCTGACAGGGACGGAAGGAGTGTTTGCTGGGAAATATCAATATGATAATATAAGTTTACAAAGGGACTTGTTATTGAATTTCATATAATTAACCATCCACAAAAAAACTCAGCTGCACATATTAGTGATTTGGAGTCGGGTTTGATGACGGAAGGTAGATAAGGGGGCGACACAGGGAGACATCAGTCACCATAATTTCCACTATCACTGTAGTCGCCGGTAACTCCCGCACTGACACCCTGTTAACGAAGAAACATTAATAAATATATGGTTACTATAAAGAGAAAATCACAAAAAATTTTAAATTGAATATCTAGGTTAATTTTCCTTAAATGTATTTGATTCTGGTATCAGGTGATCCACAAAGACATTATAAACGAAATCATTGGTGAAACATTCAAGGATTAGTAAAGATGTGGAGAGTAATTAAAGATTATTAGGGATAATTAAATTCCTCTCAAGATGGCCGTCTGGGTGACGTCGCGTGGTCAACAACACCGGCTAGCCATTTTCTTGCGATTATTATGATTATAGCACAATTTCACCTTAACACAGGTTCAATCACAATACTAGAATGTCTTACAAATACAGTGATCCCTCGGTTAACGAGCGCCTCGGTTAACGAAATTTCGGTTAACGAATTACCTTCCATAAGATTCTTCACTTCGGTTAACGAAAAAATTTTGGTTAACGAATTCCTTACGAATTTTTCCCAACATGTTTTCGCCTGCATTTGCCTGCTCACCAGCTGTAGTATTAGTCCGCCAATACAGTAATCGGTTTTTGATTTAAATTCCTTACCATTTTAGTAAATATCAAGAAGGTTGTACTATTCAATAATTTTAAAAGTTTTATATTAAATTTTTTAGTCATTTTAACAATTATTGAACATAATTGAAGTACAGGAAACTAGTTTTTTTGCACACCAAACAGCCACTCAATACACCAAGCTTGGCGTCGGTTTGTTTACCGGTTCAGAGGAAGGAACATCTTGTTTGAGACTTCAACATAAATGCTTTTTTTTCTGTGTTTCCAGTCATATTATTGGTCATTTTGAAATATATTTTACATATTGATAATATATAGTGCAGTGTTGATATAAAGAAAATAATCTTGAATTACACCAAGTGAACTAAAATTTTATGGGTGAAATGGCAGCATGGGGTGACTTCTCTTCCACCCCAATGCCTTCTCTTCTCCCTTCTCCTCCACCCCCATTCTAATTCCCATCATCATCATCATCAACCAGGAGCCTTCTATGTGCACACCTCAAAGTAAGTGTACTTTACTGCATTTATTTTTAGTTTGTATGTAATTTTCGGTGAGTTGGAACCAATTACCCAAAAACCCATTGAAACAATGGTTTCGGTTTACAAATTTTTTGGTTAACAAGCAACCTTCTGGAACGAATTGTGCTCGTTAACCGAGGGACCACTGTAGTATGGAATACTTTTGAATTAATACTAGCCTCGAAGAGGGTGAGAATACGATGCTAGAACTGGAGTGATTGAGAGAGCGTGATGTTATGTCTAGTGGCAGTGAGCCTCTCTAGATGGCCAGGGCTCCCTTCGCATATTCATGATTAAGTTGCCCCACATTACATTTCAATTATTAATCATTTTCATGATTCATCTTTGATTTTATTTATTTCATATTAAATAATTAATTTTAGTAATTTTACAATAATTTTTCAAGGTATTTTGATGATGGTTGAGAGTATTATAATAACAAAGTCTTCTGTGATGGGTTTTTGCTATAATATGTTGTCATACTTTTAAAATAATGAATTATTTTAACTAAATTTTGATATATGAGCACTAAGATTAGTTCAACAATGTAAAATAAAATTCTTATTATTTAATTGTATTAATATTGGTTGAAATAATATTATCCCCTTATTTTGGTGGACACCAGAGCCAGGCACCTTGAATATATTCCCTCTCCTATCTTGGGCTTGACTGCCCAACTGGAACTGATGTGGAAACAATTGGTTCAATTCTGTAGTCAAGGCGGATTAAGCTTAAGTAATAAAAAATGGATGATGTGAGCAGCAAGTCATGTGAAAGTTGGTGTTCAGATACTACATTGTTGAGTCTATAGTATCCAGATGGATTGACAGGTTAGCCCGGGTTTAACATTACAAAAGGTGGATCCCAAATTATATACCGGTACAGTAATACCCTATAGTAAATATCAGTCTTTCAAGAACCACTTGACTGAGTCTCACCAGAAAAATGGACTTAAAAGATCAGTTCTTTATTTTTCTGGCATACTGTTCAAAGAATATCTGTACATAAATCTCATAATATTGATGATGAATTTTCAGTGCTTTTCTACTTTCATCCAAGTTAATCATAATATTATTTTTGGCTTAAGATGTCAAGTAAAAATGTATTGGTGGTACAGCGGTAACGTGCTTAACTCTCACCAATATGTCAAGGGTTCAAGCCTCGGCCTGGACACATGTGAGAAGGGTGTTAACCAGTGTGACCCTATTAAACTTCACAGGTTTCCCAGTTGCCAATTTCCTCCTATACTATCACTGGATAGACTAACTGCCCGAATGGCTAGTAAGCTGTTAAGTGGCAAAAAATAAAATAAATAAATACAGAAAAAAAATTAGATTGTTTTATTAGTGTGCTGATTGTGATGAGAATAAATAAGAATTTCATGGTGGCTTATCCAAATTATTTTTAATCTTTAAGAAGTTGATAATATAGCTTCTGAATGATAAATTTCTTTTGTAGGAAATTGAATTCTTCTTCCCTTCTTCGAAAGTGAATGATGTGATGGTGCCACAGACCATCGCCCATCTCTCACACAATACTTGTTGCATCATTAAACCTCATACTATTGCTGCAGGTGAGTCCTTTGTTTTTGTAACTTTTTTATTTACAATACCATTCACAGTACAGTACTTAGAATTTATTTTGAATTCAGCATAAAATTTGAAATTTAGCATTGTTGGAATGGACAAGTTGGCAGTTCTGGGGAAACTTATTCAACACACTCTGTCACGCTGTTAGAAATGTACAATATATATAGTTTTTAAATTGAAGTTGAAACAGTGATTTAATCAAGATAAGTTTAAATATTTGTGGCACTGAGGAAATAGCAACTGTATTGTCAATGACGTCAGAATCCAGGAGCAGATGGCCACATCAGATTGCATCAACCCTCTTCATGTAAGGTGTAAAGGTGCAATTTTAACAATGTGAGTCATAAGCATTTTTTAAATAATAAAAATGCAGGGAACAGTAACAAATACAAGTTGTAAGTCCCCCAATGTTTACACTATCAGCTGACCTGCTCAGATGTTGCAGCATACACTTTTTTCTTATGGGATTAGCCCACTGGGGCACAGGTCAATGGCTCACATCAGGGCCTGGGAGTGAAAATATAATAATAATAATAATAATAATAATAATAATAATAATAATAATAATAATAATAATAATAATAATAATAATAATAAAAAAAATAATAAAAATAAAGATGATGATGATGATGATGATGAATAAAAATAATAAAAATAATAATAATAATAAAAATAATAATAATAATAATAATAATAATAAAAATAATAATAAAAATAAAAATAGTAATAATAATAATAATAATAATAATAATAATAATAATAATAATAATACAGGTTGACAATCCCTTATCCGAAATTCTTGGGACCAGATGCATTTCGGTTTTTGGAATTTTTCGGTTTTCAGAATGGTTAGGGTTTTTTTTTTTTTTTTTTTTTACACAGGGATCAGCCCACCCGGGCACAGGTCACTGACCCACATTGGGGCTAAAATATAATAATAATAATTCATAGGTCTAGGTCGTGTTTCTCACTTTTGATCTTTTTTCATTCTTGTATTTCTTTATTATTATTATTATTATTTTATTATTACAGTGTTATTGTTATTATTATTATTGTTATCATTCTTATTTTATTTTTGTGTATTTTTTATTAAAAATTTTATTTACTATGAATAATTATTATTATTACTGTACAGTATTACCCCGCCTAACGCGGTTTCACTTAGCGCGTTTTCGCATATACGCGGTGCCTTGCCAGAGCTGAACTTTCACTTAACACGGATTTTTTCCACATATACGCGGTGAGTGTCCAGCTCGAGACGCTATTTTTAGATTTTGGCCACGCGCCACCCGCCCGCCCGCCCGCCTGCCTGCCTGCCTCTCCCTCCTCCTCCCTCCGCTTGGGCAAGCCGCGCGGTAAGGTTGCGCAGTGTGTGTCTTTGTTACGTTATCACTGACGTCATATGACGTATCGGACTGTGATTGGCCATGCATCCCTACCCCCCTCTGCTGCTAGCTGTAATTGGCTTAAAGTATTATGACGTGACCACCCCGGGGAGGGAGGGAGGGAGGGAGGGAGGGAGGGAGGGAGGGAGGAGAGACGACGCTTGACCTAGCCGCGGCAGTTTCATCCCTCAAGGCCACCCCGGGTTAACGCGCATCCATTGTTCCGTAAAATGGCTTCCGCCGGACCACCACCGCCCCCAGAGAGAGACATTTCCTTACCTGGACCCAGCGGCACTAAGCCAAAGAAGACACGACGTTCATTAAGCTACGAGGTGAAGTACCAAATTGCTCAAGATTTGGAGAAAGGAACACGGCAAGTTGATCTCGCGCGCCAGCATGGCGTCAACGAATCTATGATTCGCACGATCAAGAAGGATGCAGCCAAGATCAAAGAGCACATGAAAATCACAAAGTCTGCAGGTGCTTCAACGATCAGGTATTGCCAGAACAGGGTGCTGGCAAAAGTGGAAAATTTGCTGGTGAGTTATTTGGTTCGTCAGGCGCGACGCAACATGGCGGTGGACACGCGCTCAGTGCAGGAGTACGCACGTGAGCTATACGCAGCAGTGACACGTAAACTGGGAATTGCAGAGCCCAAACCCTTCAATGCTTCCTCTGGTTGGCTGCATAGGTTTAAGAAGAGGAACAAGATCACCAACATCAACATTGGTGGTGAGGAAGCGAGTGCTGACCGTGTGGCGGCTAGAGATTTTCCTCCGTTTTTACGTGAGATTATGGAGGAAGGACAGTACAGTGACGACCAGGTGTTTAACATGGACGAATCTGGTCTTTTCTGGAAAAAGTTACCTTCCAAGACCTTCGTTGTCCAGTCTGCCAGCAAGGTAAGGGGTCGGAAGTTGCAGAAGGAACGCATCACCGTCCTGTTTACCACCAATGCCTCCGGTACCTGTAAACCAAAGTTATCGGTGATTCACAAAGCCCGCAAGCCGCACGCCTACAAGAATATGGACATGAACAAGCTTAATGTCCACTGGCTAACCGCACGTAAGGCGTGGATGTCCTCTTCTCTGTCCCTCTTCTGGTTTGACGACTGTTTTGTTCCTGACGTGCAGAAATTCTGCGAGCAACAGAATGTTCCATTCAATATTTTGTTGCTCCTTGACAACGCACCTGGACACTCGCCCCTACTTATGGATCGTCACCCCAACGTAAAAGTGGTCTTCCTTCCTCCCAACACTACGTCATTAATCCAGCCCATGGACCAGGAGTTGATATGCAATGTGAAAGCTGCTTACTCTGCAAAGAAGTTCAAGCTCCTGAACGACTCTACCAACACCAAGGATGAGTTGCGTAAGCTGGGTAACACCGACAGCGAGAGCAAAAGCGACGAGGACAAGGAACAAGAGGCGGCGACTCAAGAACTTCTCGTCAAACAATTTTGGAAGAAGTTTAACGTTAAACAAGCTGTAGACTTCTTGGTGGAGGCATGGGATCTGCTGACTATTGCTACGATTCGTCACGCATGGAGACATGTGTTGCATGGCATACCAGGTGAGAGGAGGAGTGAACCTGTGACTGGTGAGGTTCAGACTGTTGCAGTAGCAGTGGACCTTGCCAGAGAAGCTGCGCTCAATATTACAGCTGAAGGCTTCTCCGAGACCACCAACGAAGACATCCTGGAGGTGATCAAAGATCCTGAAGTGACTGCCGACGAGATGTTGGAAGAAGAACACGCCAGTGAAGAGGAGGAAGAAGGTGCGTCATTCTCCGAAGAACCTAGTTTAAGTCATAGTGATATTAAGTGTGTCATAGAGTTTACAGAAAAAATTAAGTCCCTCCTTTCCCGCGACAATGACGATGAACGCTATGAAGTCTTCCATGCCCGACTGGTGCAGGCTATGGAGCCGTACATCAAGGTGTATCACGACAACATCAACACCAGCCGTCAGCAAAGCATAACCGAGTTCTTCGCCCACCACAGCCAGCCCAAGCCAGTGATAGTGAAAGTGAAGTTGACTTTGAGGGATTTGTCAGGGAAGCCCTGACAACTGTAAGTGACAGTGATGTTGATTCACCTAGTAATGGTGATTCACCTGAGGGCCAGTAATCTGCCCTCTGCCTCGGAACCAGCCTCCATCCCCGTATGCCGACCCATCTCTTCTACTACCGTAAGTGTTCCACAAAATTTTTCGTTTTTTAACCTATTCTTTATTTTTCCTATGTTAACCTTTATCTTTCCTAACCTAACCTCTTCTATATTACTTGTTTTTTCATACCATCATAAAGTTAAGATAGAATTTTTACTACAACATAGTTATGTGTCGTCAAAAAGTGGAGTTTGGGGGTCGGGCTGGGTTCTATTGGAATTAATCCCATATGTTCTGTTGTTCACTTAACGCGGATTTCACTTAGCGCGGGACCCTCTGGGTTCAATTGACCGCGTTAAGTGGGGTACAACTGTATTATCATTATTATTATTATTATTATTATAATTATTATTATTACTGTATTATTATTATTATTAAAATTATTATTACTATTACATTTTCACCCCCCAGGCCCCAATGTGGGTCAGTGACCTGTGCCCGGGTGGGCTGTTACAAAAAAAAAAAAAAAAAAAAAAAAAAAAAAAAAAATTGCTCCACAAAAAAACTTTCGGTTTTCAGAGCTTTTCGGTTTTTGGAATTTCGGATAAAGGGTTGTCAACCTGTAATAATAATAAAGGCCCATAAATAAATAAAAAATAAATAAAATAAAAAGATCAATAGTGATAAATGATATATGTATGTTGTGTTGTAAAAGTTAAAGAATTAATTGAAACCCTGCAATTGCTTGTAAATGAGGCAGAAAGTCAGATTAGCAACCTGGGACTTGGTCACAATTTTTGTGATGCCATATGGCAGCAGGGTCTACCATTAGACAACACATTATGCTTCCAATATCTTCCCTGGTGGTAATACCTCCCTGTTTGGTAGCTGCCTCTAATAAACCTACATAACTTTCATACACTCCTCGTTGCTATTAAAGCATAATACTTGTGAAGGTATGGATCAGTATAGAAGAAATGACATGTTCTCAAATTTGGTTTGAGAATGCTTGCTACTGGGTAATCATTGCAACATATTTCTGCTTTCAACTTGGTGGTGCACTCTGTGAGCTTCAAGAATGGTCAAAGAAATGGCTGCTAAGACTCAGTGTCACAAAGTGTAAGAGGTTGCACCTAGGTTGTACCAACAGTAAGGAGGCATACCACATGTCCCAATAGGACGAAGAAACTGCATTAATAAAGACCAAATGTGAAAAGGACTTCTGATTGTCCAAAGCAAATCATCTGGCCATTGCTATCCCAAGTCCTTTCCTGATTTAGAAAAGCAAGGAAATCAGTGATGAAAACTTTAATTTCCACTGTCAGAAGTTTTCATCTTTCTATGACTTTTTCTTGGGCACCCAGCAATCAAATAGTATACACGATGATACCAGAAAAGTAATTTATTTATACCTACATTAAAGACACAACAGTACTGTACATATTAACTTGATACTCACATTAAAATTATCTTCACAACAGTAGAAGCAGT